TTTGCTTGGCTTTCTGCAGCCGAGTCGGGCGAGGCAAGGCTGTTGACCGGGCATCGCAACAGAGCCAATGTTTTTATGTGAAAGCCACACCACATTAGGGCCCCAAATCTTGGAGCTTAATGAGCTTCCTGCACTTGGATATTCTGCTCTAATGGATCGACAGAAGCAGAGCTACTGAAATATGTTTTAAAATTCTAGAACCCACATCCACGTCCCTCCTCCATATTCCTTTTCGGGCATAGAATCTTCAAGTCTAAGCCAGCCGCATGTTGTTGCCATCTCATTGGCAAAGCGTTTGCGGTCTTAACTTGGTTATATCCATGGGTATTTTCGGGGCCAGAACGTTTTATGTATACATATGTATGTCTGGATGGCAAATGCATGGCAGAGGATCTGACTGCATCCAGAGACCAAGTTTGTGCCATGCCCAAAGGGCGCCGCATTCCATGTTAATTGTCTAACTCAATTCCGGGTCCTGCGAAGGCTGCGTAAACCACCACCGGAGGAGCTCTGTCAGTTCTGCTAAAAGTTTAGTGTCAAATGCGAAAATTTGATTGTGTTTCCTAGTTGGGTTATGCTAATCGAGTTTGAAATACTTCAAAGTTTCGATAATAGCGGGCCTGTGCCATTGAAAGGCTTTCACTTTGGGGCGTCATTATGAATGGAACAACCCCAGGCTGAGGCAGAGGATGAGGCTGAGCCCGAGGCTGCTTTCGGAGCTGCTAATAGCGCGCAAAAGTATGCCATGAAATATGCATAAAATCACTCGCAAATGCGCTAAGCGAGCGACGTGGCGTGGCGGCTGAATCGTTTCAGTTTTTGTTGCTGCTGTGCTGCATTTTGGCAAACGAGCTGCCAAATCAAAAACCGTTGAGCGTGCGAAGTGTCAGTTGGTGGACGAGGGAGGGGAAATGCACATTAGACAGCCGACGTTTTGGGGAAATTGCCTGGAAGCAGCTCCGCTCCGAGTGGTGTGGCAACTGCACTCGCCTGGAGCTCCTCCATTCGCACAGGCTCTGGCAACAAAATAAAAAATTCAACTCCATAAATGCTGAATGCTCGAAATGTTCGAAATGCTCGTGTGTGTGTGCGGGGCCCACGTTTAATTGGCCCGAAGCCTCAAATTATGCAATAGTTGCAGTCGAAATTGACCGCAAACAAGCCAGCAATAATTTGAAAATCATTTTTGTGTGCCATAATTTATGCAGAAATTCAATCTAAATTAAACATCAAACAAAGGCCAACAACAACCTGCTCTCCCTTTCCCTCCCTCCCTCGGCTTTGCGTGTCTGGCGGGGCGTGCAATGCTCATTGCGACACATTCGCACCTGCAATTAGCTCAATGAACCTGCCAGTCGCCCGTCGCCGCCCCGTTACCTGCCACGCTGTCAGTCAATGCAGGCGGCAGCTGTCCAAAATGTAATATTTAACGCCATTTTATGCAAATTGAAATTATGTTAATGGCCAACGGCCACCGGATAACGGACCACCGGCAATTGATGGTGACGTCTGTCAGTCCGGCTGCAAAAACTGGCACAGGAATGATGACAACAGTTCGGTGCAACGAATCGCATGTCGATTGGCTTAAAGCACTTTGCATGTTTACTACTCAGTGTGCATCATCTTCAGCGCTCGCCGCGATGCTGTCTCTGTCCCCATTTAATGCTTGACAAGTCTGTATGGCTCATTTGCATTTTAATAATAATAATAATCACAATGAAGCACAATAGCTGGGGCAGGAGCGGGAGCAGGAGCTGGAGCTGGAGCTGGAGCATCAGCAGGAACGATGATTACAATAAGCACATGAAATCACGCATTCATTGGGAGGCGATGCGATAAACTGTCAGATGGGAAGAGCTGCAGTTCATCAAGTTGCCATGTTGCCAGTTGCCAGTTGCCAGTTGCCAGTTCCCACAGTCACGTACCGCCTCCTCCAGCGTTTACATCTTGCTTGCCACCCTGGAGTCGTTGCACAGATCTGCTGCCTGTTGTCGTTAGCATTTTGTTTATATTTGCTTAAATGTGCGGCGCATTCTCATAATTAGTATGCATGTGTGCATCTAGGGGTTGCGTAGTTGTGCCTGTGTGTGAGTGTGCCTGTGTTCGTGTGCGCAGCCATTGCAATTTACTTTTGTTTGGTTTAAAAAGCGCGTTAAACTTGATCATTGTTGCCGGCGGCATTGTTTGCCTGCTCGTTTGCCGCTGTGGGTGTGAAAGAGTTAAGGCTCAGTCTAAAGCCCCGACTGATTATACCCGGCCCCATAAAACCGCAATATCTGCAGGCGTTTCAATCGCTTGCTCACTCACCCGGGGACCCAGAGTCATAAAATAGCGTATACGTACCTGGAACGAGAGCAAGAGAGCAAGAAAATGTTGTTAATTTACGTTTCAGGCAAGTCTGAGGTAAGGGGTTTGCTGGGTTTTAGGTTCGGTTGCGGATACCTTCAGTGACAACGCCTAAGTGGGGCTTAAAAATTCAATAAAAAATCACTTAACATTCCATAAGAAGCTTTCAACGCTTCACATGCCCGCCTCGCACACAGCGACTTAAGAAAGGAAAAGCGGATGTGAGGCCCACAAGGAGACAAACGGAAATAGAAAGACAAAGGGGAGACGGGAGAGGGCAGTCGCTGTCAAGTCCTGCACAAAAACTGCAGGAACTAAAGCAATTTCACATTGAAAACTACTGCAAATTAATCAAATGCCTTTGCAGGGCAAGAGCTACAGAACGGCCAAGAGGCAAGACTACCAAGCAAACAGGAGAATGCCAGTTAGTCAGTCACAAAGACAGCGGCGAACGATAAAGGCCAAAGCCAAAGGCAGTCGTCCTTTTTCCGAATCCAACCCTGCGACCTCCACACACACACACACACACACACACACACACACACACACACACACACTGCGGCTGACTACATACATACATATATGTAGGACTCTGGTTTGTGTGTATCGCAACGCATTAAATCGATAACACGATTTTTCAGCACGCACGCAGCCTGAGCCCAGACTGGATCCCAAAACAACTGGCTGACTGTGAGTTAAATTGTCAGTTTCATTACGTGGCAGCTTTCCCCGTTCGCCGGGCTTCGTTCTACGGAATTTCCTTGCTTTTTTAAAGCCAAATCACTACGTCTGCGCGTGAGTCTACCCATCGCACCGCCACCACCACCCTCGCTGTGCGACAAGCGATTTTTCAAGTTGGCGCTTCATCGTCCCACGGAGCTGGTGTTCCTTCCAGTTTTTGCTCCGTTCTGCGGTTCCGGGCGCCAAGCAAAACTCAATTTTCGATGAGGGCAGAAACGCATCGAGAGCCAAGTCGCGAGGACTCCTCTGGGGACTCCTCGAGAGCTCGAGGACCTCGGCGCTGGTGAGTTCAACAAACATTTAACTGATTGCCCGGGCGTGTGTTCGTGCCCGGTCCTGCCTGATTTTTTGATTTGCAATACACCTGGGAGCGAGACAGCCCTCGGCCACGAAAATGTTTAGCTTATTTGTTAGCGCTCGAAAATAAATTGTCTGTGCGTGCGGTAATTGTAAATTACGTAAGGCCGGGCCCCACTCCTTCGGCGAGTCAGTGTCAGTAAAGCAGCCGAGTTATTGACACCTCTCCGAGCTATGCCGTGCATTTTTGATCGAAACTATCAGGGGAGCAATGGCAGTTATGGGGGCTCCGCTCATAACATGTCCGGATAGATGATGGCCGCACTAAACTAGGCAGTTGATTGGAAATCTCCATCCACTTCCCCGGCTCAATACAATTCAGATTTTGGGGCCTTCGTCCCAAAGCAATTCAATCAGTGGGCGCTGGCAGTAATCCACTTTGGGCGCCCAAAAGTATGCAACAATTTCTTTTAAACTTCCTGCTGACACAAATCAGCCCACGGCCATAACTCAAACTATCTCCACCTCCAGCTCCAGCTCCATGCCCAGAATCAATAACCATAAACAGAAATTCCTTATGCTCACGTGTGGAGTGGAGGAGCAGCCGCATAAAAAGTATGCCACATGCTCTGGGAAATCACTAAATTCAGCCCAAGGCAACGTGTACCTCATCATTTATGGAGGCAGTGGAAAGGCAAGCCCGAGCACCGAACACCATGCAATGCCCCCGTTGATAACTGAGAGTGCTTATCACGTCCACTACTCCGCCGTCCCCTCTCCGTCTCCGTCTCCGCCTTCGACGACTGCATGTGACATTTGCATGCTTACTTAAACAGCAAAAAGCAGCCTCTACGTCAGCGACTGCGAGCTTCTGCCACGTCGAGCTCGGCACGTCTGCGTCAACTATGCTTTACATTTCGGCCAGACTCGGTCTCCGGCTCAGGCTCTGGCTGGCTCTGGCTCTGCCTCTGGCCCGGACTTCGACTCCGACTCAGACTCAGTTGTCCCTGGCCCGCTGGTGTTGTCAGTAGGCAGTCGCAATCCTGTCGACGTCACATCAGCACACGTGTGTAGTAAAAATCAGACGTGTGGGCGCTCCTTCAGAGACGAAGCTGCCGTAGTCGAGCCGAGTCCTGCCTCCATGTACTTTGATTGCTTGCACGTTACCCGTACAATTTTCGGTATGATGGCGGCAACATTTCATGATTTCTTGTACGTGTTTCTGCCTGAAAGCACGCGTCCTCTGCCTCGCCCAATGCCCCCTGCCTTCTGCCTCTTTCCAAGTTGCCACTGTGGCGCTCCAACCCCCCCAGATCTATTCCGGCTCTGGGGTTTCGGAGTAATGTATGCAAGCACTTTTTGTGTATGACGCCGTTGCGCTATGGGTCGTCGCCGTGTTTGTTTGCCTGGTGACTGATGATGGTTTTGCTCAGCTCCCACATTGCCATCATCCAGAGCCTCGGCTCTCACTTGAGTCGCTAGTTTCTCCGGGGGCAGCGATTCGGGGGTTCGTTTTGCTAATAAATCAATGACGCCATTCCGAGACGAAGTAGGCGATGATTTATGCCTGGCGAAAGGGTTCCAAACACTTTCGGGCCTAATTGAGTTGCCCTTGATGGATCCGTCATTCCTATAGTGTCTCTCGTTTCAGTACACGAATCGTTTCGGTCAGCAAAGCACAAAAAATTGTAGCACTTTCTAGTTTCTAGTAAATAACTACAGTTTTATCTCAAAATTTGAAAGAACATTTTTGGAAATTCCTTTGGTTGCTTTGAAAATGGATGAGCTAATTGTACCGTCGTCGAGTTCGCACTGGTCGCTTCGCCTTGTGGACACCAAGAAGCCTTTTCCCAACCACATTTTGGCCAATGTCACCTACAAAATTGCTCGCTTCTTTTATCCTCCGTTCGCCGTCGGAGCCGTGGATTTCACCCACGTGGTCAGCAATCCCGAGTTGAACGCCTTTAACGTGGGACTCTTCTTGTCCTTTTCCGTGTTCCTTCCATGCTTCATCTATGCTGTGTGGTTGAATTTCCTAAAACCGGTAAGTGGTTAGCTAACCAAAAATAATATAATAAATAAGATGCGTAACGCTAGTCGGGAGCTAGCTATTTCTCGATTTGTACTCTTCTCAATCGGCTTATGCATCTTATGCATTATTTTATATTTGTTAAACCTCTGAACCAAGACTTTTACTCTACAGAACACCGCTGCTCGAAAGTCGACCGAGCAGCAGGCCAGCATTAAGAGTGAGGCTGAGAAGAACAAGGATACAGTGGACCCGGAGTCCGACGATGTCCTCACAGAGCCCAATTGGGTGACCGTGTCCAAAGAAAGCATCTTTGACGCAGCCTTGGGGACGGGTGGCAAGGAGAAGGATAATGTAAGGTGCCGCACTAATAACGATCTAGATGGTGACAAAGAAGACGATCTGGCAGGACGAATCGACAGAGCTATCTGGGGGAGAAAGAATTGGTAGAATCCTTAGAAAAAGTCTGGCCTATCGGCCTTTTTCAGTCTTTGTACTCGTAGACTGTGTATGAGTTTTGTATCCTTCCAGCCAAACAACTCGATTTAAGCTCCTTCAATTTCGTTTAATGATTGGGCCCCCTTTGCCGGCTCCGGAAAGTGTCGGCTTTGGGGTTTTCTCTGTGGGTGCAATAAAATGAAGTGATTTCCCAGTTTTATGCTCGGCGCAGACACAGGGAGCCAGCGAAGAAGACTGCACATGGGATTAGGCTGGGACTGGAGCTGGAGCTGGAGCTGGGGCTTGGGGGCGAGGACTTGGGCAATCATTTTGGCAGCGCATGTGTCGGATTATTTTGTTGGCTTGCGTTTTATTTAAATTTGCTTCTTTCGGATGCCTTTTTGCTTGTGCGGTGGTTGTTTGTCGCCCAAATCTGACAGCAGCTGAAAAGCAGGCTAAGCTTTTGCCGCCTCTTTTGGCTTTGGCTCTGAGAACAAATTAATGATTTGCCATCAAGCAAATAAATCAAAAGCTTCAAAGCAGATCTCCGGCTTAGCTCAGCGGAGTGGGAATACATGAATATATATAGATAAATATATATTCAAGGGCCTTTCATCTCACACTCTGTGCTCCACTTTAAAGAGCAACCATCGCCATATAGTTTTATTTTGCAGCTTTTTCCACTCAACTAAGCGCATGCATTGATGATATATCCTCGACCGTTTGACACCCCTCCCATTGACATGGCATAAATAACCGTGCGAGGCTGTTATAATTTATAATCCTTGCTGTGGGCATCCCGGCAACAACAACAACAACAGCAACGAAAACAGGAGCAGGAATAACATTGGACTGCCACGGGGAGTGCAAATATTTTTGCTTGCTCTTCTCTTTCTCTACGATCCGGGCTTCCCCTTTCATTTTTGTTGTATTTTATTTATTCGAAACCTGCCCAGGCGGAATCTCTCCGGCTCAGTCCGCCTCACCCAGGTTGCCAGCACAAATATTTTGTTGGGTTTCCCTTCCATCTTTGTATCCCCAACACCCAACACCCAACGCCCCCCAGATACTGTGCCTTGCATTTAGTTTGTGTGTACTTCTTTTTTGTTCTGTTTTTTGGCTGGTAAAATGAGGTCAAAAGTTTATTGGCCAACAACTGTGTGCGAGCACCCCGCTCGCCTCATGCTGATGCTGTTTTGGTAGGCATTAATGTCAGACGAAACAGCTTTAATGCCAATAAACAAATTGCCTGCACTTAGCTGCAGGCCTCCCAGGCGCGAAGGGAGGGATTAGGCCAATCGAAATGGGTTTTAAATGATCCTGCAGCACTCTCATTGGCCAACCGCAACAGCGAGCCAACCTCCGTATGCTGTCCCACTGCCAGCTAATTACAAACCAATCAGCCAACTAATAAATTTCAAATAAATTATGGAAAAATAGATTCGCTAATGTATGGGACAGAAATTACAAAACGCAATAAAGCCAACGAGCACGAAACTGCCAAATGCATTAAATGTTCAAATGTTTAAATTATGGGTTTAGAGCAACGCTCCCTCCGGTGCGCGCAGGTTAACTGTTTTAATTATTTAGAATAAAGCTCCCATCATCTTTGTCAGATGCATAAACTATTAATTTCACCTGCTCTGGCACTTTGGGATACGAGTTTGGAAGGACTTTGTGTGTGTGAATCCTGGAAAGTATCGGAGTTCTCCCTTCGACCCACTCACATGCGACTGAACATCAATCGAAGTTCTGAACTTGGGAGCGAGCCGAAGTCTTCGAGTTGGTTTTGATCAGCTCAAGGTGGGTTTATCCCTACCCTCCAGCTGCCTTAGGTTTATTCGCTCCCCCCATAAAAGCATTTGATTCAATGTTTAATGAGGGTGAAGTGAATAATAGAGAAGGCCTACCTTTGTCCCGCTGGGAAGCAAGCAGCACCCCTTCCCCGGGGCACACTCCCTGCTCCCTGCTCCATGATTATGACAGCCTCTTTGGCAAACCCTGCTCCTGTCAGGGAGCACTCGCTTCCTCTGTGGCTCAGCCAGATTTCCAGGCTGTTCGGGCTTTAATTAAACGGCAATTGTGGTCATCAGTTGTCGGGCTCTCTTGTGCCTAATCAGTTTGTGTGATGAAAGACTAAGCCGGGATTACGGAATGTCTGCCATGCGGGTGCGACATTTGAATAATGAATGTCAACTCGATGCTCGGCTTGCGGGGGAAAAATATAAGCCAGGCCTAAGTCCCCAATGTCACTCAGCTGTCAATTGTGAGCAAACCTAAGGCGCAGGCCAACTAATTGGGGCGTGGCCGGCTGACAAACTAACTGACCGGCTAACTGACGTAACCAGGCAAGGCAATCGGTCTGTCCATCTGCCAGTTCGACTGTCCCTGCCTTCTGCCTGACCATAAACTAATGCACCTAATTGCTGTGATTATGTCGTTTGTGATTATCTGAGTTTGTGTGTCCTTGCTCCCGTTTAAGCGGGTCCTGAGTTGCATACAATTAGACGCAGCAAACGCTAAATCTCATTTATCAACCCGTACTCGATGCCCCTTGGCGCGACAATTTTCGATAATTTGCCAAAGACATCACGTAAATCTCAACTGGCTTCGGATTCGGATGCTGATTGGGTTAACTAATAACCCCGTTCCAGTTGTTGCCTTGCCTTGCCTTGGCTTTTGGAACTTTGGCTACCCTTCTTCCTCTGGATCTGAACCTGAATCTGTCTTGCCTGATTCATCTTTGGGATGCCGGAAACTTTTTGCTGACAAGTGTGACAAGTTTTAAGGCCCATAACTAAGGTGGCAAAGCAGCCACACACCCTCACCGCCCCGACTGTCAACTCACCTTGGTTGAACGGCTCCAAGTGCAGGACTCCCCCTCTACCAAGAGCTGTGGTTTCCTCCTGCCCCAGTCCTCTGGCCTGGGCCACATTACACATGTAGAAGGCACAGCAATAATAGTAAATTTAAGCCCAGCCAACAGGGCGGAAAGGGAGACAGGGAGACTTCACATGACTCGTTAAACTTTTTGCCATTGTAATAGTTCTGCTTGGTTGGTTTCTCTTTCTTTTGAGACCGAGACGAGACCGAGCAGAAACCGAACCGAACCCTGGCGCATGAAACCCACAAACCGAAGGAAGGATCCATGGGGGTGGCTGCTGCTTTACATGCTCCTGCCTGCTGGCTCCTGGCTCGGGCTCGGGTTTCTCTGGTTATGCGCATAATTTATAGAGTGCGACAATATGTTGCCCTCTGTCTGCCTCCCGGCAAAACTTTTCCACTCTCGTTCAAGAAAGTAAGATTTCTCTGACCGATACAGCTGCCAAGTCTGGGTGTCGTCCTCTGTGTGTCTCTGTGTCCGTGAGCGGTCCACTTTTGGGGGTCAAAGAGCAGTCGGAAGTCAAGGCTATTACCATAAGGGTACATCCACACATCTGGAGAAAGCTCCACGCGGCTCTCTCTTAATTCTGCGCTCCGCAATGGAAGTCCCACGGAAGAAGACAACTCCCTCCGGAACTGGACGAAAATAAAACTCAACCCTCCCCCCACGTGGCTCTCTATATTTTTTGCCAAACGCTTGGGGCGATAAAAATGCAGAAACAAAAACATTTGGTTAGCTGCATAAATTTCGTTATGTGTGTATGTGTATTTGTTGTCGCCGCCGCGGCGGTCCGCTGATAAAACAGCGTCAAAAAAGTGTCGTCGGGGGAGCAACTTAAGTAAAACTGCGCTGTGTAGATCCTGGCAGATATGAGAACGAGTTTGTTGCGCTGCCTAAACAAGCAGGCAGCAGGCAGGAAGGACAAACAGGCGAAAAAGTTTTAAATATACATTTACGTTGGCAAAGTTCGCCCGGTCTCTATCTCTCTTGAAATTTAAATATTTGCCGCCTTGGCATACTTTTGGCTTTTGGCCGCACGCCCTTTGGAGCTCTTTAATCAAGGACCTCCGGTTCAATGGCCTCCTCAAGACATCGCGTTCGGTGGAGAGTTGCTCGTCGCAAGTTTCCTGCAAGCCTCATATTCCTGCCGCAAATCCCCTGCCGCAAAATTACACACACATGCAGCAGCACCGGGTTGTATCTCTATTTACAATTTATGCCCCACGTAAAGGTAAATAAAGTTGCAACAAGCGCTGCTGTTGCCGCTGCAGCTTGCTCATTGCATGCCACCAAAGTGACGTGCGTCCTCTCTCCCTGCCCACTCCTAGGCTCCTCCTTGGCTCCTCCTCCGCTCATAGGAGGGAGCTGCCTCGGCGCGCTTCGGTGGTTTGCCTTACAAATCCCAAAACCATTTCACTAATTGAAATGAATTTTCATACACGAGAAAGAGGAGGATGTGGGGTAAACTTGGGCCCGCATGCATTTGCGGGTGTGCGAGCACCAGACACACTCTCGTGTCGCAGCACAAAATTGCAATGACCTCGGGCAACCACAAGAGCGTTGCAGCTAAATATGGGGAATGTATGTTATATGGCAAAAAGCAGCTGCCACGTCACAAGATCCTACGTCTCGCATCGCAGTTGAATGACTTATCATCCGCAGGAGGACGAAGAGGCAGCTTTAAGACTCGCAAAATGTCCCTGGCAAGGCTGTCAAATGAAATATGAATTCGGTGCGCTCTTGGGCATACATGCACACATATATAATTTATATATATCAAAGTTTTCCTTTTGTGCCACTGACTCTCACTTGCGTTCTAAAAATATTCCAATTAAAAATTCATATACAGTAATTCGGCTCCTGCTCCTGCCTGCTGGGACAGAGACTAGGACTGGTACTGGGACCCTCTATTCCCAAAAGGATTAAGCCACTCGACACGTCTCAAGATGTCGCCGGAGAAAGTAAATGGGCGGTGGATATACACGGCGTCTTTTTATTATTTAAATAATTATGCAATACCCGCCCCGGCAACTCGGGCATCTTAGCAGCCGCATGCAGGAATTTTCAAGTTCGTAATTATGCGATGGCTGACTGCATTCCCTAAGCTCCGGCTGCCTCCTCCTTCTCCTTTTCCTTATCCTTCTCCATTTTTAATTTATTTTGAATAAGCAGAAAAGGCACAAAGACGTTGCCCAGACACTGCCGGCATTTCCCACAACGGAAGTCACTCCTTGCAGCTGCTGCTTGTTTGCATTCCATACGGCTGCCCTGCCGCCCAGCCTCCGTTGCGTATACGTAATGTCGGGTAATGTGTGCGCTGCCATAAGGACCACAGAGAGAGAGAGAGAGAGAGAGAGAGAGAGAGAGTGAATGGGAAGCCGTCCATTGAAAGGCGTTGAGCGTGGCTTGTAAATACAGAATGGCGACAAAGCGAGCCTGCAGGGAGCCCTCTCCTGCAACGGAATGGCTATGGCTATCCTAAGCCATTTTGAATTTTTGTCTTGTGCTTCTCGGGGTAACATTATTTTAATTAACATATTTATGGGGGACGAGGGATAAGCGGCAACAAAAGCCAAGTCACTCCCCCACCACATTCGGTTTGAGTGCATTGCAATTTTAATTACACACGGAGGCAGGGCAGGCAAGCAGCAGGATTCTTATGGAACATGCACTGCAATGTTGCCATCTGAAAATCATTAAAAATTGTTTGCGAACGGTGAAATCATTAAAAGCATATAAATTATGCAGACGCCCTCCAACCAGCCCGCATCCTTGCAGCCGAGCCGGGCTGAGCCTCATAATTATGCAGCATATAAATGCCACCAGCAAGGACAGCCGCGAAGGATGAGGACAAACATTGTTTTGTTAATGTTTTGCATGACTTAGCTGCATGCTTGCGAGGGAGGCGGCCCACGAAGAAAAGGACGAAAAAGGGTTCAAAGGAAAGCGGGCCTGGGCCAAGTTATTTCGTATGCGCACCTGAAAGTATGCTTTAAGAAATTCAAAAGCACAGACTTTGGCAACTTGTGTATACCGGCGGCGCCTAATTAAGTCGCAAAAGAACTAAATTGCTTGTACTTTCGGCAAAGTTTTTGGAACCCGACTGGTAGTCTGGTAACCGGGAATTTCAGGTATCTTGGTCAAAGACCGAGTGGCTCCATTCGGGTCGTCCGTTTGAATCGCACTCAATATCAATAAATCCCGCAACAATCTGCATTCAAAAATCAAAGGATACACATGCACATGCACAGAGTGCTGGCGGAGCGAAGGGGAGCGAAGGCTGCCGGCCAGACAGTCGAACATAAAATGCCAATTTCTAGTTGCCAAATGGTTATTGCCTGGTCTATAAATGCAGCAACAGCAGCAACAGCAACAGCCACAGCCACAGTCATGGGCTGGACTTAAACCCACGTACGGGAACCATCCAAAATGGCCACAGCTCTTATGTTACCTATGGCCAAGTCAAGCCCACAGCCAAAGCCATAGAATAGCTATAGCCACATGGATATGTATGCATATTCTACCCCCGCATGCATACATATATGTTATGTATGAATGAATGAATGTACATATGTAGTACGTCTGGCAAGTTAAGTGCCAAGCGGAACACGAAGGCAATTTGTTGCGTCACAAAAAATGGCAACCAGAATGGCAACGTAGATCGAGTGGATAGGAGGCTTGGTTCCGGACCCGCCCGCCGTTAGGAGATAAAATTAAAATTGTGCGTGAAAACTGTAGAGGATAAAGGATAGCCACATATCCATTCAACGGATCGGCCATCGGTTGGCCAAGGAGCAGCAGCGAGAGGGACTCCGTACTTAGCAGGCATAAAATATAAATTACAATGCTGCGCCATAATAAATTTCAGTTTACGTAAAAACGTTAAATTTATATACACTATATGCGGGGTGGCAAAGGGGTGCTTGCTGCAGCCACACACCGGAATGGGGCAAAAACCCATTATGAATGAATTTAGTAGCAGCGGCAGTAGCCGAAACGTGCCCGCTCTCACTCTATCCACATCTCGTTTCGTCTTGGCCCCCCGCTTCACCCGTTTGCCTTTATATTTATACAAATTTAAAGCACTTTCGGGGGATCCCCAGAACCAGAACCAGAACCAGAAGCAAACCCACGAAGCGGGGGAAGGAGGTTAGTTGAGGTTTTCGCAAAAATGCCGGCAAATTTACGAGTATCTCCATGGCTGGCAGCAGCGATAAACCAGAACCAGAATGAGAGCCAGTCGAAAGCAATAACGACCGGCCAATAGACACTGAACTAGACTCTCGACTTTCGACTCCTGACTCTCGAGCTGTGCCTGCGACTAGACTGGACAGCACAGAGAGAGAGGGACTGGAAAGTTGGCTGAAGGACACCCCAGGAGGGAGGACTAGGCGCTCGGCCTGGGAAGGACTTTGTCTGGCCTTCTGGGCGAGTTGAAGCGGTCAATGACAGAGGAAAGTTTTTCTGCAAGCAAGCTAACCACCAAAGCGATAAAAAATTAAAGCAACAGGACGAATGGGGGCCAGGTACATAGCATAAGTAGGCAAAGGCAGCACAGACTGCCGCATCAAAATGCCGCAACGGCCTGTTATTATAATGAAAACGTGGCCAGCCGAGATCTGGCACTAAAAAAACTTTGTTAAAAGCAGGGCCAGGCGGCAGACAACAGCGGAAGCCAGTTACATTTGCATGGCCAATGCTCAGTCGTCCTTTTCAAGTGCACGGTACGGCATGGCAGCAGGACGATTGTGTCTCTCACGGGTCATTAACAATTTAAGGTGCCAAGTACGGCCCCAATCAGAGCTGGCTGGCCTGGGGTTATATTAAAGCTTTAAAGGTCCCAGCTTGGGGATGGGGATCGGGATAGGGATAGGGATAGGGAGCAGCTGGTGAATCACAGCAGAGCAGCAACCCAAACCCTTCGAAATGTTCGCTTTTTAAGCGCTTCCCATGGCAATTTATATGGGAAACTTTTGTTTTGCTCCGCGATAACTCTGGCCGAGTATGCGCGACTGCATCGGGGATTGTGTGCGCGTGTATCCAATCGTGCAGAATGCCCATTTTTATATGTATTTGCATATGGTGCATAAGCATTTTTTCATACCCCATCCATCGGCAGGAGCCTCGCCATCTCCTCGCTCCACGCTCCTCTTTGCGAAATTTTTAAGCCAAAAGCATTGGCTGTGAACGCGGACAAAGTTTGCCTGAAAAATAACGTAGGCTGTCGCACCCGCCGCCGATTCATTCATTCATTTGCGAATTGTGGAGGCTCTTCTCATTTTTTTGCCCATTTTTCCAATGGGTGCCAGAAGTCAACAAATAATATTTTCCATAAAAATTCGTACTGCTGCAGAAATTGAAATGAAAATATCCCCGGCTTCGGGAGGAGTCGGGAGTCGCTGCCAAATGTCATATATATACTCGTATATGTGCGTGTGCTGTGAGAGGGTCCGGGCAATCTGAATCTGAATCTCAATTTGATGTAGAATTTAATCAATATTTGTGTTACGATGACAACGAGGCCCCCCGCCGGGCCTGGCATCCCCCTCAGCTGCCACACTGTGGGCAGTGCGGCAGGCAGGTTAGAATGTTTATCAATTTATGCATAAATGCAAATAGAATTTCATAAATAGTCATTTAATTGCACTTTGGCCAGAAGCAGAGGCGCCGGACAAAGGACGACGGACGCCAGCCTATAAACGATATGCAAAATGCAAATTGGCGGACACAGAGCGAACACTTAGGCAGTGTCACATGCAAAATCCATCTGACGCATTGATGTGCCAAATGTGGCCAAAAGTGTGCAGCTGCCAGATTAAAGTGCTTCGAATTGTGGCCAAAAACCTGAGCACTAAATGCAGCCAAAGCGGCTGAGAAAGTATGCCAAATGCCCGGCACTAAAGTGAATGGTTTCCCTCTCTCTCTCTCAAAACAGAGGGGGTGCTGCTGGAAGCTGGGAAAAATTATGTGGCACGCAGGAAAATCAAGACAAAGCTTGGCATAAATACGAAAATATGAAAACACGAGGTGGGCGTGTGTGCGTGTGTTTGCACAATGCAAGGGGAAAACAAAAGGCAGCAGCAGCACAAGGCAAATACAGAGGCAGCACAGGAGCCCGAAAGTGTGCTACAGAAATGTATACAGGACGAGGACGGCTGTTCAGGGAGGGTTGGAATTTCCAGCAGGCCTCTCTCAGCGTGTGTGTATTTCGTTACTTTCTTGCATTTTGTTTATGCTTCCAAAGAGAGAAAACTGCCTTTAAAAAATCAAACCAAATGAGGACTCTGCCTTTGAATAAAAACCCGCTTCGGCTTCATTCAATTAATAGACCCATAAACGCCCCCGTCCTTTCCATCATCTATTCGTCAGTCGCCGAGTGTGTGCGCGTGTGTGTGTGTGTGGGCCGCATTTGTTTGTCTGCAGTGTTTTTTTTTCTTGTTGTTTTGCCGGGTTTCTGTTTAGGCCCCTGCGGTCGTTTGGCTCGTATTTTTTTTGCGTTGGCCGCCGTTGCTGCTGCCAACTATTTTCACTCCACTTTCGAATGTTTTTATCCCTAAAGCCTGCTTGCGGATATGCATAGAGCGAAAACACAAACAACGGCCAACTCTAACCAAACTGAACTGAACGGAGTCCGCTGGATAAAAAGAGGCCAAGAACATTGTTGTTGGAAAAACAATAAATGGCAAATGTATGGCGGCATTTTAGGCGCATGGCGCATCGGAAACAAAAGAGCTGAAAATTTGCAAAATGCTGCGGCCTTTTCCCTCCATTCCTCCATCGTCGTCCGGTTCGATCCTTCTTTTTCATTTTGTTCCTCCTTTTTGTATTTTGCATTTTTATAGCAATATGGCAAATGGAATTTTTGTACCCGTTGCGAGCGCTAAACATTTAAATGAGTCAAGTGGCTTTTTGATGGTCGCCACGGAGCGGAAAGGGGGCTTTCGGGTTGCGGGTTTGAATTTGCATATGGCTGCAAAAATTGCTTTGCGGAGGCTTTTAGTGAGCCAGGATTGGGGAAGGAGGGAGGGGGGAGAGCGGCACACTTTTCAAATGGGATATATGTGTTTGTGTTTTTGGGGGCATGGCGATCTATCCGGAGTTTTACTCACTTAGATTTCCACTGGGAATGTAAACGTTGCCCGATGGCGTTCGCACCAAACAAGATGGCTCAAAGTCAACGTCATTGGGATTGCTGGCGGTTAAACGACCATTTTGCATGCGACTCATTGTCGGATTACGCGGCGGAACGTCCGGCGGAGCCGTTGGCGTGACTCCTTCCAGGAGGAAGCCTGAAAATAGGTGCAAAAATATGGATCATTAGTTGGGTGATTTTTATTTCAGAGTCCAGAAACTAACTGATGATCAAAATCGCGTATTTTATTCGAAATCACGAAATCTACTAAAAGAATTTGCTGAATTTTTCAACAGCTTCAAATGGATTTTTTTGTGAAAGGGGCTGCAATCAGTTCGCATTGAATGCTGGGTACAAAAATCAGGCGAAAGGAACAAATCGAAATGAAATTATTTAACAGCATAGAAAATTCAATTTGTCTCCTTTCCACCCCCCTAAACAAACAAACAAACAAACACGGAAACTTGAATACAAATGCAAAAGAGACGGGGGAGGCGGAAGAATAGATACAAAACTCTAAAATACCGAGAATTACCAGGCAAAAGGCAATTGCCAAAACGAGAAACCAGATATATATATATGTATATAAATAAAAATAAGAGGAAAACATAGAAAATGAAATTCAATTTGCGCGCTCAAAAATTTTCAATGCCGTCGAGGAGGAGGGAGGAGGAGCATGGAAATCGGGTGCCAAAGTGCCTTTGATACCCACCCCCCACACACACTCTGGGGCGTCGAAGTGTGTCTATGTGTGCGCGCCTCCTTCCTTATCCTCCTCCTCCTCCTCACTCCTTGCGCCGTAATAAATTTCAAAAGCATTCGCATTCACTCGCATAGAAAATTTTAAGCTCATTTGTAGGCTTAAAAAGCATTTCCACGAGGGACCAGGGACCGGGGAGCGGAATAGGGATTGCCGGGTGCAAACAGGATGCCCGACAAATTCAAACGCCAAAAGCGAAAAAGGACACAACGAAGCAGCGGGAGAAATGCCTAATAAAAAACGGCAACGGCACAGCAACGGAAGCGCCAACGGCCAAGGAACAAAATTTCAAATTTGTTGAGATTTGCCGGGCGCGAAATTTATATCCTTCCCCTCGTCCTAGTCCGCGTCTCCTCCTAAGCCGCCCTCTAAGGACGCCGTGTGTGTGTGGGCTGCCTCTGGCTTAGTTAGTTAGTCCGGGAAGCTCCTTCTCCTTGGGAGAGCCCCCTTGCCGTAATCGCATTGCGCTAGGCCGAGACCATTCTCGTTTCTCCTGCTGCCAGTGTCCTTTTTTTCTCTCCAGCTCTAAGCTGGACCAGCGGCAGAATCTGGGCGCACAAGTGGCCACTGGCCTGGCTGTGGGAAGTTAAAGCTGCGGAAAATATGACACCAACTTGTCTGCCTCGGACGAGAGCCACGAGAGCCTCGGCCTGCTGCCCGGATTGCCGCAGGGCCTGCGCATTATCGTAATAATGGAACGTCGGACCCCCCCCCTCTCCGGCGGAAACAACAACAAAAACAGGCAGGAAGAAGCCCGGCGACTGCCTGCCAGCAAAGATTATTTCACGCGGTTAAACACAACGGCAAAGGCACCAAAAGTTCCCTCCCGAAAAATTGGCAGCTGTAAAGTTGCTCTGTTGGTCGCTCGGTAGCTCGGTCAGCTTTGATTAAAACTGGGCGGCGGAGAATATTTGTGGACTTTTGTCTTTGGCCTGCGTGTAATTAGATTTGAGATTTAAGGCGCTTATGCCCGATGCGAGGGGTAATTTAAATTGAAAATGTACCCGAGGGGGGACCCCAGGTCGTATGAGTGACGCCGCTCCACATTCGAATAGCCAAGGATCTCGTATGGGTGCCGACCTCCGCTGACAATTATATCGTCATCAAGCGCACAAGTTAAGCTAAAGTAGCCAAGTGCAATTTGCATGGACAAGCGTCATGGATGGCGTCATTTAAATACACATAAGGTCTCCGACATTGGGGCAGGGAGCTTTGTGGCATGCTGCATGCATTAGTTTAATATTAAGCAAGAGTTGGAGGATAAACTGTCAATTGTGATACCAATTACCATTTTGCAGGAATATTGGAACATCACTTGGCTAAAACTTAAAGCCCTTTTAAGCCGCAGTGCACACAGTAAGAGAAACTGATCCTTCACTTTATCTATCCCACAAGTATAGTTAAAAGTGGAAGAAGCTGGCTAGATCCTTGATCTACACCACACTGAGTGATATTATCCTTAAGTTACTCATTGATGGGCATGCTCTCTTCGTTCAGTTTTCGGTGGACCAAGTCAAGGGCTTAGCCAAATGACAGAAAAAAAACAGAGAAAGAAAGAAATACAAAAACGATGACAATGGCCATGTTGGGAGCCAAAACGAAAGTGGCTAACAAAGAGGATTCTCCACTAGTCGTGGTTGCCTGCTTGCCAGTTGGCATCCGCATCCGCATCTATGTACATCCGCATCTACTTCCACATACAGAGGACAGGCATGAACTGGGGGCCAATGCGAATGCCAAGCGACCACTTAAAGCGCAGTCGGAGGCTGGAAGAACAAGACCCAGATGATGGACCAGGAGCAGGAGCAGGAGCAGGAGTAGGACTAGCAGCACGAAGGGCGAAAAAAGGAGCAGAGGCAAACGAATGGAACAACGGGCAACTACTGGGAATGGCGCTGATAAGCAGCTTATCTTCATTTCTACAACCCCCAGCGTTTATTTTTCCACTAGCAAGCCTCGATCTGTGTGTGTGTGTGTGTGTGTGTTGTTTGTTTGTGTTGTTGCTTGCCATGTCCTTGTTGTCGGTGCTCCTCTGCTGGCGCTGCTGTTGCCATTGTCGTTGTCATTTTGAATGCGAATGCGCTGCTGCTGTTTTTAGGGTACGCAAAATGTGTAATGGCATTTCGTCAGACGGAGCATGAAAAAGCGAGGCGAGCTTAGTGATAACACAGGACAAGGGGCAGGGGCAGGGGCAGGGCAAGGAGTGGGTGTAGCAGTTGTGGCGGTTTCCTCCCGCTTACCCCAAATGTGTATGTGACAAAGCGAATTTTCCCTTTTCCCTACTCATACCCCAATGTTTGGTGAGGGTTCTTCTTTTCTCTTTTTTTTGGCCTGCATTTAATGCTTTTATAATGCACTCAGCAGCTAAAAGAAAAAATGGAAGGGAACAACCAACATTCGACAGAATGGAAAATCAGCCAAAATGCCAAAAAGTATTCTCGCCAAATTGAAGAGAATTTGGAGGCAGAATGCAGCATAAGTCGGTGGCAGGGCAGCTTCAGCTCCAGCTTCAACTTCAACTTCAATTAGGGAAACGGTGGGGCCGGGAATGAAAACATTCAAGCGGCATGGGTGCGGCACGCGCTGCCGAGTGAAATATGTTAATTAAATTAAGAGATGGGGGGCAGGGGGGAGGGATCGAAAGGCGACACCAGCTGCTTGTGGCATGCCAACAATGGGCAATGAGAGCTGGCAGGCGGGGGGCATGCCAACACCTTCGGAGGCAGCAGCAACAGATTCTTCCTCAGCTCCTGGCTCCCTTGACGAGAGAGAAATGTAAAACACTTTCGGTATGACAGCTGAAATGTCAGTTAAGCATGAATTGCTGCCAGCAGAGGGACGAGGGCGAAACTGGGAGTAATGAAAATGAGGCATCCCGAGACCTCCCTCCCTGCCTCCCTGCCTCTCTGCCTGCCTGCGCTCCCAGGTGGGCAGCAGGGACTGACAACTGCTGAAGCGTTTCTTAACTACAGCAGCGCCATGCTCCTGTTTTCCTTTCGCCCAAGTTAAGTGAGTGAGGAACGAAAGATAAAGATGCCAAGCGGGAAATTGCATTGCAGCCGTGGCCCGGAAGCGGCGATGACATTCGCTTAATCGATGGAGATATCCGTTTTCTAGCCCATTAAATTGCAGTACAGTCCGTCGCATTCCGTTTCCGGCAGCAGCATCGATAATAACAATAATCAGGGGAGACAGCTATGATGACAGGTGCAGACCGGTAAACAGGTAGACCGCACCAATATAGCCCTTCGTAAATCCAGCTACCCATATGAGCCACGCTGCGTATACGCAATGTGGAGCAGACAGTATGTATGATTTTTTACTGTCCGCTGCTGCTGCTGCTGCTGCTGCTGCCATTTAGTTGATAAGGGATTGAATTATATAGCGGCTGAGGAGGAGGGCGGAGGAGCAAACAAAAGGCGCCTAAACTGACAATTGGGCGCTTTGTTTGTAGCGTGTCTGTGCATTAGGACCCTGCCCAATGTGACTGCATTCAGTTTCAGGCCGGACTTCGATTCTTCTTCCCCCCTTCCCCAGAAAGGCGGCGGCAGGATAATGCGGGCCATCTGTATGCGTGTACGCATGTCCCTGCCAATGTTTGCACTAACAAAACAGACACACAGAGAAAGAAACATTCGAACTACGATTATAAAATTGGAAATTCTAGTTAAGACTTGAATGATTTTAATAATTATTTGATAGAAAACATTTCCCTTAAAGATGTCTTAGATATTATGGAGAGAAACTCTTGGATCTACTTCCCAAATATATATATATTTTTTGGGTTTATTAGTATAAAATTTCTCTCTGTGCATATCTGGGGTTATATGTTTGCGCCGCCTGAGCCTGACATATAAATAGGACGACCCAGGCTCACACACACAGAGTTGTCAAAGTTTAGTGGAGAATTGCTTGTCCTGGGCCGGTCAAGTAATTCCTTTGCATAGGTGAATGTGTACAGTTTATTAAATGTGAGTCCTGCTCGGTGCCTGCCCAACTATTTATGTCGCCCGTCGTGTACCGCCCAAGGACCGCCCACACACACCAACACACACCCTCTCACGTGCAGACGGGCCCATTGTGCGTCATTTGCAAAGCCCTGCGCATCCACAATCTTTGTTTGTCAAAGTTTGCGCTCGCCTAGGAGATTTATTTAGTCGGGCTGTGGCACAACTTGGATTTACTTCGACACAATTGTCAGCTTAGTCACGTTTCATGTGTCGACGGATTCGAGCAGCCGGGATGTGCGATCCAGGGGCAAGGGGGAGGAGGGGACAGGATGTGTGGCTGGATGGGAGCCGCGCTAATGCTAAACACGACATAAAGGTAAAAAGCCAAAGACACGCGATGCGAATATTTTTACGGGCCGCCAGCAAGGACCTGCACCTGCAGGGATG